GCCAAGCCGAGGCATATGCCTTCGGCTCGGCTGAGCCGCTCGGCCAAGTTCGGGAGCTGTACGGGCTATACTGAATAGCCCGTACGGCAGCCCTTCGGTTCTACTGAACCGAAGGGGTCCTGGGGCCAAAGCTAGCCAAACGATCGGCCGAAGCTGTTTTTGGACATCATGAGACATTATTTTTGGACATTTTGGGGCATTATTATTATTTTAATAAAGGCGTATAAATGGGGAGGGGGGCTGTTATCAGGCTTTTTTTAGATTCCCATAAGCCCACTTCTTGCAGACCCCCACATCCACTGGGCCAGGGATATAAGGAAGATATGTCCTCATCAACATGGGGATAAGGTTTGCCAAGGCTTACCCCCTTGCAGGGTATACTCCCCATGTTGAGGGCATGTGGCTTAGTATAGGAAAGGGGGGCAGACGCTCCCTGCTCTGCCCTTCCTGGCTAACCAGGCTGCATGATTGGATACACATGGATTTGGGAGGGATAAGAATTTTGGGAGGGGGTCTATGCTTGTTTGTTCTTTTGCATGGGACCCCCTTCCAATCCATACCAGGCCATTCCTTTCTACATAACATAGACTGCAAAAACAAATGACAGTTTCTAACCCTTTCATAGTTAAAAAAAAAAAATTCTAATATTCTTGTTACTGGGAGATAGTGATTGCGCTGGGATAGAGTGGCAAGATCAGTTTGCAATTTTCTTTTTTTTTTTTTAAACCAGCTAGCTCCACTTGTCAGGGTATCAAGATCCTTCAAATTATTTTTCTTCCAACCATGGTTTTAACAAGGCTGGTTTTCACAGCAGTAGCAGGTGGAGCCATGCAAATCATTGCTTTATGTCCCATCAGTCAGATGAAAATCCAGAGCTGCTGATGTGCCAATACTGTATAGCCTAATATTATAGAACCATTTATTCCAAACGGCATACAGCTGTTTCATGTGTGTGCCATCATCATTGATGTGTGTCTGATCTGAAACAGCTGTTTGTAGTTTGAAATAAATATGTCTCTGATATAAGGTTATATTTGCACTATACACCATTGGTTCTAGATCTACAGCTGGCTGATAGAGCATAAGGCAATGATTTACATGGCTTTACCCACTATCCTGAAATAAGGAATAACCCTCTTATTTTTTGGATATGTGATGGAATGAGGCATGTAAACATTTACTGTTCTTAGAAGACTTTACTGTGCACCAAATTTAAAAAAAAGAAACCCCCTCCTCATTAGGTCCACCAAGCACACTGAATTACATTTGCATTTATTTCATGAGTGTCAATTGTTAATGCAAAAATGCTAAATGTCATGCAAAGTTTTTGCTATTGAAGAGCAGTGCAAACAGTGCAATTGAACCAACTTCCATCTTTCCAAGCTGACTCATTCTTTCTTAGTGCTAAATTAACAATTAATGCAAATAGATTCTTTTTCACCTGTATGTACCACAATGTAACAACAAAAGGGAAAAATGTTCTCCTAAATTGAAAGCTGAACTTATAATATCATACCTATGCAATAACCTGGTAGTCAGAAGTAAACTCTGAAAAAATTACTGGAAAATGCATTTTTAAAGCTCTATCTGCCCCCTTAAAAAGACATAATATATTTGGATAAGCTTCAAATGGTATTTTGAGCAAAATGAGTTAAGGGACTACAGGGAAATCAGGGTTTTAAAATGCATTTTTCATTGATGCCATGCTACAAATTAATCCAGTCAAATACATTTAGTGATTCTTCCAGACAAGCAATCAGAGAAAAGCTGAATGTTTTCTGATGATGACAAGAACATTTCTTTGAAGCACAAGTTGACCGTAACATTTCTGCCTGCAACAATTGTTGCTCATTATTTACTCAAGTAAATTTTTGTAGCTTTCCATCCCCATGTCATGCATTCTTAACTTTACTGGGTAAATCACGTTTCACTAACTTTCCTCTCAGATATCATTGGTTGCCAAGGGTGATCTACACAAAAAAGTAAAAAAGAAATTACAAAACAAAATTATGACCGAACTTATGATAACCTAATTCTAATTGCCAGCCATACATACTGCAGCACAGTGCAGCAAACTACAGTCTTAGAGTAAATATACTGTATTCATGGACAGGTTTTAATACAATATGGTCTAGTCAAAAATGATTAAAAATTGTAAATACTTAAGCATATAAAGCTTTAAAACGTGTAACAGGATAAGATATAACATATCTAAATGATGAGATTTAGCCCATGCCAGGCATCTGCTTTTTTTTCTTTTTTTTTTTAGGTGCTTAGATAAACTTGCACTTGAAGGCACTTTGATAACAAAACTGTTCCTCACTGCCTTGATTGTGCTTCTACCAGTACAACTTGGAAAAAGGCTAATGGAGAGCAGATATTTGGGGGGCATAGTTATATGATCCAGATTCTTTATCCCCCCTGGCTTATGTAGTATCATTTATACAATAAGCTAAAGAGAAAAACTTAATATGATCTTTGATGGCATAATTCAGTTCACCAGAAAATAAATTCAAATGTAACCAAGGACAGCCACTTAAAGGAATGTCTGAGCTGCACCTTCATCAGTGCTCAGAGCAACCTGAACAACTCCCACCTACTCACTCCCCCCACATACACACACACAGACACACATTGCTTCTGAGGTTCATTAAACCCTATGAGCAGCAATCTTGCTTTATGCATATGCATTTGGCAGTTGTGTCCTATTTAGATCCTTTGACAGGCTCAGCCCAAAATAGGCAGAGCTCAGATGGGCTCTTAAAAAGTCTTCTTCAGTTGTCCTTATTGACATCAGTACTACCAGAGCTTAACAGTAGCTACAATGAAGGTAGTGATTCTGTTGTTTTATGAGGACCATTGCGATAATGCACTGCACTCACTAGCATCAGTAATCTGTTATTTACTAATTTGGCATTCCTCATCTCTAATTTGTTACCACATGATCATATAGTGTTATGGTAAAAAATTAGAATATTGAAATAATTTCTTTTAGTTTTAATTTTTTTTTTTTCGTTTTATGTTTCGCTTGTGGCCATCTATACATATCAAAAATTAAACAGAATGATTATAGACACATTAACATAATTATACTGTTAATTAAACTATTGTGGTGCATAGAATCCATGTAGGTCATGGTTTAAAACACCTAGTCAATGCAGTCTAAGTTGAATTAAGACTAATGAGTAAAGTTTTATTTTAAATACAGGTGACAAAGATTCCTGTAAAGAAATGCAATGCATAACTCTACCTCAACTAGAAGTCTCACCTTAAAGGATAATGCTGTAAAGTTAATATGTTACTATCTGCTCCACTTTAGTAAATTTATAACATCTTACCCCTCTTATAAGGGCCAGAATTCTCCATAGTCAAAATAGGTTGTGCCCTAGGATGGGAGAGTTACCAAGGAAGGACGCAGCCACCGCACATCATGTTGCTGAAATATCTTTTTTTCCAGCTGAGTCTTTATTACTGCTGTTCTTGCAGGATTTGTGCATTTTTTCATGTAATAGTGTACTATGCACCTACAGTTTACCCACTCGGGTCTGTGCACCTAGGGTTGAACTGCTAGCAGACTACAGCGACAGTATTGTATACTCTTTTTGTTACTAGTTCTAGGTGTAGTGATGCAGAGTGGGCAAACTCTTTCATACTTTCTGGGTATGCCTTGCGTAGTTATAATACTGGATCTTATTAGAGTGATACCGTGTTTCCCCGAAAATAAGACAGTGTCTTATATTTTTTTTCTACGAAAAAAGACACTAGGTCTTATTTTCGGGGGATGTCTTACCTGGCTGCAGCTGTCCGCTCTGCTGTCCAGGGAGCCAGGCGTGCGGGCGGGCGTGCGTGCGGGCGGGAGGGATCTGCGGCTAGCGCTCTGATGCCATCCAGGGAGCTGCTGCTAGCACTATCTTCAGGGATGTCTGTAATATGAGATCTACCACCGAACTAGGTCTTATTTTTGGGGTAGGTCTTATATTACAGAAATCCCTGAAGATAGTGCTAGGTCTTATTTTCGGGATAAGTCTTACTTTCGGGGAAAAACGGTATTAGCCTAGCCACTTGAATAGGATAGGGGGAGGAGGCATAAAACAGTTGGTGTGGGATACTGGAAGTATAAATTCGGCCTTCCTTGTGTTATAATGTTACTTTGTTGGAGAACATCATATTTGCATATGGGTATATCTTCTGTAAGCTTGCTGAATGAGTTACACTCCCCCCAACCAAACTAATTCTAATTGTGCTAGAGGAGATTTAGCAGTTCTCTTGTCAAAGTAAGCATCTTGAAAAAGATAGTTTTTTTTGTGCTTTGAATGAAACTCCGATTTGTTAATATCTTTTTTAAAGAACAGAAACATACAAAGACATCCTCTTTTAAAGGTCTTAAAAATTACCTAAAGAAAATAATAACTTTAAGGTTTAAAATGACACATTTAACTTTTTGACACATTTAGCTTAATGTAGCTCTCAATATTTAAATCACTACAGTTTGCAAAAGTCTGAAACAAATCATAAGATCAAGTGGGATTGGTGGCTGAATTTCATTTCCATCCAGTCGCAGATATCGAAGACGAGGTCCATGAGGAAAATGAGGGTCATATTCTTCTCTAACCTCATTGGGGCAAATAATAGTTCCATTAATATCTGCAAAATATAAATATATACATATAAGTTTGACAGGTATGATTTGGTGTTTCTTAAGAAACCCAAGAAATTATGACACATGTTTATTTGTGAAGCATGAAGTAGACCTTCATATATGGATTTTTGTCTTGCGCTACTGTTACCTTTGTTCATTGTAAAGAAACACATTAAATTATTTTGAATAATTTGAAAGTGCAAAAAATGGAACATATGGCCACTGGAAATGCATGAACACATTTTTGAGGATACTTGGGTTAGCTGACACAGACACCAGAGGTTACTTGATACATATTGTTGTTTTAAATAACTAGATAGCATAGTGAGGTAGAGAATCACATGTTTAACCCCTTCATGACTGAGGCCCTTTTTTCCATTTTTGCACCCATGTTATATTCCACATTTTAGGCCTGAAAATGACGTAAAACCCCCCAACATTATATATTTTCTGAATGCCAAGACCCTATAGAATAAAATGGTGGTAGTTGAAAATTTTTATGTTGCGCAATATTAGCGCAACTCCTTATTAAACCCCAAAATTTAGTGACAAATTTAATTAAATGCCCCAAAACACAACAAATTACCCATTTTTTTAATGAAATATAAAAGATGAGGTTACAACGAGTAAAACGATACCCAACATGCCCATTTTACAGATTGCGTGCGACCGTGAAACGGCGAAAAACTGCAGTACCCCAAAAAATCAATAAAAGACACTTTAAAAGCCCCCACAGGTCATCAATTTAGAAGTAAAGCCGACAGTCGGCTCTACAAGTTTAAACAGAGTCCCGACGGCAAAAGTCGCCGGGAGTCTGTTTAAACAGCCCCGATGCTGGCGACGTACACTGTACGTCGTCAGTCACGAAGGGTTTAAGATAGAATAGTGATGATAATAGCATAGGATAAGTTAGCCCTTTGGCTTGAGGGCAGGAACAAATTTACATCCTAAAAATGTATGCACTCAATAAAATTGGGACCTGAATCCCCACCCATTAACATATATGATGCTGTGCCACCTACCAATGCCATGCTACAAGCCAGATTCAGTTGTATATAAGTTAACCCAGCCTTGTTTCTACTAGTACCATGTTGCCTGAGGTGACTTTTGCCATATGTTTTCAAGTGTTGTGCCCACCCTGTGCCTCCTGTGACCACTTTATTGCTATGCCTCCTTTTAAATGCTGTGACCACTTTTCTCCTCTGTTGGTTGCCCCCTATTTACCTCTGCACCCCATCTCCACTTCTTTGTCCATGCTCTCAGTCTTCTACCCTCTCTCTGTCTTCTACCCACCTCTGTGCGTCCAATCCCCTGTTGAAGTCAGGCTATACTACTCACTTTATTATTCAATGTAGCAGCAGTGGGGCATATAATGTATATGACACAAAGTATAAAAGGTGGAAACAATGCCTCAAAAGCATGGTTGCGGTGGTTGTACATCTGCTGTGATATGTCACTTGCTTTTATACATTGCATAGGTAGCAGAGAGTAAAGGAAGAATGGATTGCAAAATAGTGATATATTACTAAATGTGATAAATGTTCATCATGATAAATGTTATGTCTGTACAAACTATATTGTCTCCTGTTAAAGGATTAAAATGAAAACCAGATGTTTTCAAGTGACAGATTTTCTAAGACAGTATGCAGTGAAAGTAAAAGGTATTAAATGCCTCCCAGAGCAGTAGTTTAACAATGATGTCTGTGTTAGCTACAGTATTTTTATAAATGACATAAAATATGAGAATCAAGTTAAAGATGTGGTAGTCTCAAACACATATATGGATCCATATGGCTCATCATTGAGCAAGGATTCTATATTCCAACTAGCAAAGTATAAATATTTGATCAACTAGTCTTTACTCTTTTTATAAAAAAAACGTTACAGTAATATCCCAAAGCAAACTACGTAAACATTTATGACAGGATTTGCAAACATAAGCTCTATATGTACAAGATGCAGATTGTGGGTCTTCTTTTTTGTGTCACTTGACTATCACAGTTCAAATATTGAGAATTAATTGGATCTGCATTGCAGAAAACATTTTATATTGATCAATTACTTACTGTTAATTGTTTTTCCATGTCTCTTTAACCCCCTCAAACATTAGGTGGCATAGATCTGGGTCCTAATTGCCCGAGCTTTCCCAGATCACTTTTGTTTAGTACCCACTGGAGCAGTGGCCATGGATACATATTCCAGAAGTATGCAAGTTCATGTGAACCTATTTCCTGTTGTGACCAGTCTGTTACAAAAAGCTTACTATTAAGGAGCAAGAAGAGTTGAACAACTAGAATGTGCATAAGCACATTCCAAAAAACAAATATACATCTTTTGAGTGGAATCTGAGTGCCAAAAAAAATCACCAATCATAAAAATAATCAAGGTTCAGAAAAATGTTTGCTTATGTCAAAAACATTTATCAACCTTATAAGATACACATACATAATGTATAATGTCACTGAGCGATAATTTCTCTTTTGATCTTAAAAACCATGCTATTACCAACCTATAATAAGGCTGACTGTAGGGTCCTTTTGGTTTAAACACTAGTAAAGAAATCTGAATCTTTCAGGAGTTGTTTCTTAGCATGTTGGAGTCCTAGGCTAGAACTAGGTTAGGTGTTTACTGTCACTCCTCAACACCCCTGCTACTAACCCCACTACTAACAGGGTTTGTTTTACAAAAGGCAAATAGACTGTTAACTTTGCAAAGGAATCTTCAATTTGCAAGGACATTTTCCCTTAGCTTAGTGAAAATTCAAACTGTACACAATCACATGCAAGGAAAAATTTAAAAAAATAAACAGTTTTTTTAGACCATTATTAGATAATAGAAATCAATAGTGCTTCACCTCATTCATTAAGCTGAGGAGAATAAGTAAAGTAACTATTCACTTTTCAAATTGAACTGCCTATTTTCCCTTAGTAAATCAATTCCATATTGTCAGTCCCAACCTTTGTGTGTTAACTTTCCTGTAAAAGTTACATATACCAATATACTGTGTTCATCCACACCCACATTTTATATCCTTCTGTACAATCCTTCCATATGCATAAACCCAATATAGAGAAACTATGATTTTTTTTCCCTCTTACTTCCTGTTGTGTCTTTATGACAGGAGGTGAAAATAAATCTCCAAGGAGGAACACAGAAAAAAAAACTTGATGGGGTCTTAACCTTTCCTTACTTTATCCAAAAATATAAAAAATATATAAACCTCAAGCAAATTTCCTATGCTCCTTGGTTCCATCGTGCTAACAGCATTCACCCAACTTTACACTGGGTGGACGGTTTATACACGAGCCCCATAGTGTCTGCCCTTCACCCCACCCATATATCTACCTTTACTTTACCATGGCCATAGATGAAGGAGTATTGATGAACACTTTGAAAATTAAAGCTGATAGTTTCACAAATTGGTTGATGCTATATTACTAAATTTAAGATTTGCATTTCATATTCTATTCTGGGACACCAACCATTTGGCTGTACTCTAGCCAAAAACCTAGTTGCCTTTGCCTAGAAATTATTTTGCTTCTGTGGTCACTTAACTCCATGGTGAATGCTAGTTAATTTGTTTTAATTTACCACTGTTATCATAACATTTTAAAGCTGAACTCTGGGGAAATTAATAAACTACCTCCCGCACTGCAAGGGTTAAATGTTTATTTTTTTCCTAGGATATTATTAAAAAGCACTTTTCCTTATCTTATCACTTCCCCAGCAGCTGGGTGATTAGTCTGGTGGAGAGGTGGAGTCTGTGGGAGCACAGAATACAGTAAGTAAAAGTGCTTTTTCATGGTATCCTAGGCAAAAAGGGAGCATTTAACCACTGCAGTATGGAAACAGCCCACACTGCAAGGGTAGATTTAATATGTAACATATTGTCTATCATACTGGAGGAAAGGCAAAGTAAAAGGCTAAACTAAAACTTATTTTCTGCTAATAACCATTAGGAATTTGTATCTGTCAGCACCTATTTTGTCATTTAGACAGTTTAATTAGAGGGTCTGGGATATGAAACAACATGCATGTCTCTTTCTCTCAAATTTCTGGCAAGGCTGTTCAAAGCCATTCGATTGCCTGGGGTAAACCTTGACACCTCCACTAAAACCTTATCCTATAACTATGAAAGCATAAGTGCAATGTGCATTGTTTTTGTACAAGGCAGAAGATTTTAATTGCTAAATGTATTACCTATTCCTTAGTGCCAGGTGGCAAGAGAGCTTAAAATTTATTTTTTAACATATAAACCTGCAGTTGGCAAAGGATTGATGGTCATATTTTTTTTTACCAGTGTGTATTTCCATACACTAAAAGAAAGCGTTGCTATGATAGCAGAAATAGCTACCACATAGCCAGAGAATGCTACTTTTTACTAGAGGAGTACTGTGTTAATAAAGTGTTACCCCTTTACTAGAGACTGTTATGTTTCACCAGCAACTTCTACGTAACTTGCCTATTACTATAGAGAAATACCTGTATACAGTGGCGGACCAAAGGGCCCTGGTGCAAGATTTTTTTTGGGATCGCTGAGTGTTTGTACCGCTCTCCTCTCTGACACGCTGTCACAGGAGGCTGAGTGAGAGGTGCAGGGAGGAAAGCTCAGCCTCCTGTGACAGCGCGGGCTGTCTCCGCCCACACAACGCTCTTCCAGTGTTCTATCACAGATTGTGACTGCGTTGGCATGTGTGACCGGTCACATGGTCACACATTCTAACGTAGTCACACCCATTTTTTCCGGGGTAAAAATGTGTGACCGGCAAAAGGTGTGGAATTCAAAGCTTTCTCTGCTGTTCCCAGGCTGATCAGCATTGCAGATGGTATGTTTAGGAGAACCGATCTGCCTGGGAACAACTGATTGGTCCTGAAATCTCACTTCTATCTGACTTTGCGAGTGCAATACAAAGTCGGACAGAAGTGAGATTTCAGGACCGATCAGCTGTTCCAGGGCCGATCAGTTCTCCTGCACATACCATCTGCGATGCCGATGTGCCCAGGA